AATACTACATGCCCCAGCACCTCAGAAAAAAGCAGGGGTAGCAATCCTATTCTCAGACAGTCTCAATGTCAAACCAACAATGATTAAGCGAAATAAAGAAGGCCACTATATACTGGTTAGGGGAAAAATTCAAGAGGAAGAGGTTGCACTCATAAATACATATGCACCAAACACGGAGGCACCCAAATATATAAAGGAAATCTTAATGGACATGAAAAATCTAATATCCAATACCACCATCTTAACAGGAGACCTTAATACCCTTATCCCCAAAAAATAAGTCAACCAGACAAAAACTTAGCAAAGAAATAACAGAACTGAATCAGAGTTTGAAAGAAATGGACTTGGTGGACATGTACAGAGTGTTTCACTCAAACACAGCTGAATACACATTTTTCTCAGCTGCACATGGGTCATTTTCTAAAATTGACCACATACTAGTCATGCTTAAGTATATGTAAGACAACAGAAATTATCCGCTGCACATTATCTGACAATACTGCAATGAAACTGGAAATAAATGACAAAAGAAACCAGAAAAAAAAAACCCTAAATACATGGAAATTAAATGACACCCTACTCAGCAACCAATGGGTCATAGATGAAATTAAACGAGAAATTCAACAATATCTACAATGCAATGAAAATACAAGCACAACTTATTGGAATTTATGGGATAGGATGAAAGCAGTTCTCAGAGGGAAATTCATAGCTGTGAACTCACACATTAGGAAACCAGAACAGGAACAAATAAATACCCTAATGCTGTACCTTCAACAACTAGGAAAGGAAGCATAAACCAAACTCAGAGCCCAAAGTAGAGAAGACATCATAAAGATTACAGCAGAAATTAATACAATTGAGACAAAGAAAACAATTCAAACAATTAAAAAAGCAAAAAGCTGGTTCTTTGAAAGATTAAATAAAATCCATAAGCCCCTACCTAACCTCAACAAAAAGAGGAAAGAAAAATTTCAAATACAAGCAATAAGGAATGAAAAGGGTATAATCACCACAGACCAGGTGGAAATTCAGATTATCAAAAGCTACTTTGAGAATCTTTACTCTCACAGAATAGAAGACACAGAAGGAACGCACAGATTCCTAGAAAGGTACAAATTACAACTGAATCGACAAGATATAACCACTCTCAGTAGCCCAATAACAGCCAATGAAATATGAGATGTAATTAAAAACCTACCGACAAAAGTCCAGGTCCGGACAGATTCACAGCTGAATTCTACAAGAAATTTATAGAAGATGTAGTCCCTATACTCCTCAAACTCTTCCATGAAACTGAAAAGGAAGCAATCCTCCCAAAATCATTCCTGGA